CAATCAATGTGTGTTGCCAGTGATGACCTACGGAACCGAGACGTGGTCCTTCACTGCTGGCCGTATGAGGAAGCTCAAAGTCGCTCAGCGAGCTTTGGAGCGGGCTATGCTCGGTATTTCTCTGCGTGATAGAGTTCGTAACGAAGACATCCGCAGTAGAACCAATAACCGTTGGAGAAGAAAGGTTCTCGAGTGGCAGCCACGTACTTGCCATCGCAGTGTGGGGCGACCCCCCACTAGATTGAGTGACGACCTGTGCAAATGTGCGGGAAGTCGATGGATGCAGGTGGCTCAGGATCGTACTTCATGGCAGTCTATGGGGGAGGCCTATGTTCAGCAGTGGACTCAAACAGGCTGAAATGATGATGAATGATAAGCTGGAAGATAGAATCAGTGTAGAGTATCATAAGTAAGTGATCACTATAATTCGTGGAAATCTGAACTCTTTAATGTAATCAATAGTCGCGCTCGTGTTTTTAATAATGTGAGAAGGTGCCAAACGAGCTGGTGGTTAACCTTACGTTAAGTGATAACCGCCGCCCATTGACATTAACAACGCCCGTACGGTTGCAGATGCTACCTCACTCACAAGACGAGACGAAGAAGTATGACTCTTCCACTTGAATGTGAAAAAGTGGCAAATGAGCAGGTGGTTCACCTGATGTTAAGTGATAGCCGCCGCCCATGGACATTAGCAACACCCGTAGGGTTGCAAATGCGTTGCCACCATAAAATAAAGTGGACCCCGGCTAGCTCACTCACCAGACGAAACGCAGAAATGTAACACTTCTACTTTACGCCGGTCTTCTGTGAGGTCGTGGCACTTACCCGGACGGAGCTGCCCATTCGTGCAACAGCCAAGACTGTTGCGAGGCCCTACCATCAGATGTTAAAGTATACATGTTGCCTTTGTATAATGCAACGGAGATTTTAATTTAGTTTTTGTTAGTTTTTTTAAAAACATTGCCGTTACTTTAGGATAACATTATCCTGTGTTGTAAGGACGTTTTACAAACGTAAACGGACGTTTCACGCGGACAAACACCCAGATGCGAAACAACTATCTGTGGGTCACACCAAGAGTTGTCCCGTGTGGGAATCGAACCCTCGACCCCCGACGCGCAAGCCAACACCTTGGCAACTGCGCCACGGAGTCATGAGATTAAGCAAAAGCAAATATGCTTGTACTCGGCCAGTCTATGTGCCTGTTGTGATCTTCCACTCCAGGGGGATCGGTCAAAAAATAACAAAATTTGGCTCTACAGAAATAAAACTTAAGACTTCTATACCAACGAACTATTCCTCCTATAATATAGGCTACTTCACTCATATCAAATTTGACCCTCTAAATGAGTATTTCGTGCAGTATTAGATACACATAACCGAAATATATTCACACAATACAAATTTCAAAAATTGCATAATTTCAATTCAAAAATTACTACTTTTATTTTTTTTTGTTCTAAACGCTAAAAACGCTTGCGGCTATGATTTGACGTCACAGAACTTGTAAAAAGAAATACTTCTTAAATAACTATTTCATTAAAAATGATCAAGAAAACTAAATATAATATTTCATTTTTTATATTACTTTAGAAATGAATATGTTAACATTAAATCAATAAAATATTTAAAAAATATTAAATACTAATCATTAGAATAAATAAACTAAAATAACCAGTTATATTGTAAACATATCCGACGACAGTTTTATCATCTTTTGGCATTTTATATTGCTTAGAAGAAAATAAAAAATATGCTTAATAAGTAATTAACTGTGGTTATTAACGACTTTAATATATTTTAATCTTCAGTTACAATTTTTTTACATCACACATAAAATATTCACTTTTATAGTATAAGGCGAAAGAATTTAAAATATTACGACATGGGCCTTGGCCTGACGTCCACCAATGCAGCCAACGCTATTAAATTATATTTTTTGTTCAAATAAGTAGTCCTGTGTAGTTTTCTTTTTCAAAGATGAAGAAAATAAAATTTTACTCCTAAAAATATTCTCAAAAAAAATAACCTTCATTCGACCATATTTCCTAAATTTAGGAAGAAAATTTCTAAGTTGGAATCCGTGGCTAAGCGTGTGGTTATTTTAAAAATGTCAAATGATTGTTTAGAATAAGAATGACGTCACATCACAGACAATCTATAGAGTATAGAGTATAGACTAACATGGCGGACGCCGTTTTGGCCTGTTTTATCATTCGAATATGATGGTAAATTTCGCCGCAAAAAAAATGTTATAATAGCTCGGTCGGTAATCGGGCGGCCCCAAAACAGACGGCCGCGGTTCGTATCACGATCATTTACACACTTATTTTTTTTACTTTTTTTTTCCATTCCAGATCATTGCTTTCTTTATTTTTTATTTTTTGTCGATTCGGATGATTTTGTTCTTTTTTTTCCTTTTTTTAAAGTTCTTTCTTTTGTGAAAAACCAGCCAGTTCATATTTTCTTATTATTACGTCGGTAAGATCGTGATACGAAACAAAAAAACAACAGGTCCTCCAGGTACTAAATAATTAAAACGTTATTTAAATGTGTTTATCATCATCCCAATCCTCTTTCCCCACCTAGGTGGGGTATTTTCATGACAGTAGCACACTGTAAAGAAATCCAAAAATGTATTTAAGTCTGAAATATTGGATAAGAAACAAAATCAAGGTCAACGAGGTAGACGAAATCTTGATCCATTTTAAGGGAATCATTATGAATGGAGTTGAAGGCTGTATTTACTAATAAGAGAAGTAACTTAATAAAAATGAATAGTCGTCCATTCGCCGAAATTCAACTATTTTTACAAACATAAAGTACATTATGTTAACAACATAAAGGTTTAAATCGTAAAAAATTTTAAATGTCAGAAAGATCATTCAGAAGATCTGGTATTTTTAAATTCTTTGCTCTGTTATATGTTGGACTGTTTCACAGAGGCTATTGTATTTTAACAGTAAAAACGTAAGCTCATTGCTTACTATTACAATTTATATTTAATAGTTTTATTACAATTTATTTACTTACCAAAGGAGCCGTGATAGTTCAATGTCCAGGCTCGCCTTTAATTCAATATACTCGAGCAATCTGAGTCCGATCCTCGGTGCCGGGCCGGCACCAATGAAATTGGTAATTTTAAGCGCTAAATAAAGCACAGAGGAGGCCTTTGCCCAGCAATGGGACATGTATAGGCTGATACTTTACTACTTTACTGAATGAAATAAATTTTGCGGATTTATCGCGTTTGTTTTTTTATTTTTTCCCGAAGTTTCGAAACCTACGTAGGGTATTTGAATGTCATTGTTGGAACCTTAAACTTATGACAGGCACTTGTCACAAACGCAAATCAATGAACGGCTGCTAAATTTGATTTTTATGATGGTAACATTGTTTACTGATAGATTTTTTTATGTGAGGAAGTGGCAAACGAGCTGTCGGTTCACCTGATGTTAAGTGATAACCGCGTGCCCATGGACATTTGCAACACAAACGTAGAGTTACAGATGCGTTGCCACCTGATGATAATGTGGGCCCCGGCTACCTCACTCGCCAGAGGAAACGCAGAAGTGCAACACTTCTACTTTACCGATGGATGTACTTGGCTTTTAACAAGATAGTAGATATCAGAGATTTTCTTTTATCTTTCGAGAAATATATTGTCATTTCGCAAATAATGTATTCATAGAAGAAATTGAAGCCAGAAGAAGATAATTGTATGTTCACAAAATATATCCTGTTAATTAAAACCGTCAAGATTTAAAAAGTTGATAAACGTTTTCATCTCTTATCGTCTCAAAATATTTCAAAATGTAGCCAATTAAGAAACTAATAACTCATACCTTTGTCTGACTAAGACAATATTTTTCAAAGATACATACTTTTTGCACTAAAAACTCTTTTTCATCCTAAAAATGTATATTTTTTCTTAAACCCTTTAACAGCAGTGCGCTTGAAATATTAGTTATTATATTAATTAATAACAAACCTGTTATGAGGCGCACATAGCCGCTGATTGATAACAAGCAAATTATATTGGAAAAGATCTTTTTCTAACCCGTGATTGAGATAAAAGTGCTAATCTCGTGTGTCATGCAGAGATTACACATTTCCATTTTCCTTCGTTAGCACTACTTCTCAATATAAATAAATAAATAAATATTTCAGTATACAATTTTACACAACGTTCTCTAGTCCCAAACTAAGCAACGTTTGTATTATGGGCACTAGATAACTGATAAACAGACTTAAACATACTTTTCTTTTGTAAATAAATCTTATCCTTTAAACGAGCAATTCTTGTACATATATATATAATCGGAATCTCGGAATCGGCTCCAGCGATTTTCATGAAATTTAGTAGGCGCAAAATAAATCTAGGTAGGTTTCATTTTTAGAAAATGTCCTTGTATGCATGTTTTCAGGGAACGAAAAATATCATTCGAATATGACGGTAAATTTCGCCGCAAAAAAAAAATGTTATAACAGCTCGGTCGGTAATCGGGCGGCCCCAAAACAAACGGCCGCGGTTCGTATCACGATCATTTACACACTTTTTTACTTTTTTTTCTATACTTTATTTATTTTTTATTTTTTCTATTTCCAAAATACATGATTTTAAAAAAAACCGAGCAAAGCTCGGTCCTCCAGGTACTACATATTATACATATATAAACACCCAGATACTGGAAAAACACTATGTTCATCACACAATATTTTTCCAGCAGCGAGGATCAAAGCGATACCTGACGCAAGAAGCAGGTTCACCACCCACCAGGCAAATCGGATCGTCAAAGTACACTTTGCAATACACTTACGTTAACAGCTGTTAAAGTCGACAACAGAAGGATAGACGAATGGGCCGCTTCTAATTCAACTTCTCTTGCCTAATAACCATCGTCACAGTACAGATTGTGTATTGATTGAGAATGGGCCCAACTTCTGCCGAGTGACCGGCAGAACAGACTGTGAATGGATTACGGAAAGAGACTCACCGAGTAGAACCAGCCGAATTTGTCGAAGGGTATCGTGACGGGCAGGTCCGGGAAGTGGGCCGCTATGTCGAACAGCGGGTCGCTGATGCCGTCGAAGAGCCACGAGGAGACGTTAGCCGTCAGGAACAGGTTCTCGTGGGACATTCGCATGAAGACGTCGACGGCGACTCGAACGAACAGCGGCTCGTGGCGCATCACGTAGCCGACGGTCTGGCGGAGAGATGGCGGGACATCAGAACATCACTACACAGTATACAAAGTCGCCCCGCTGTCTGGTCTGTCCCTATGTATGCTTAGATCTCTAAAACTACGCAACGGATCTTGATGCGGTTTTTTTTATTAGATAGAGTGATTTAAGTGGAAGGGTTATATCACTACATAGTATAAAACAAAGTCGTCCCAAAGTTTGTCTGTCCCTATGGCCAGCTGGCGGTTCACCGGATGTTAAGCGATAGCCGCCGCCCATGGACATGCAAACGCCCAAGGGTTGTAGATGCGTTGCAGGCTTTAAATAAAATGGACCCCGTGTACCGCACTCACCAGACGTAACGCAGAAGTAGTCGCGGACGCTTCGAATCCTTCTCAGTGGTTTATGGTCACAGGACATATCTGTCCCGAGATCTATGAGCACAAGTTCATTAAGAATAGTCTAGTCTCTTTTTCTAATGTGTATTCGCGTAAATACAGGAAATGAAGTATAGAAACTAAACGATATCATGCAGAATGCGGCATCCTTCCCAACATGGATCCAGAATGAAAGACATAACGCATCACGCATCACGCATCGTCTTTGTATCACGTATGGTGCGGCAATGGCGCATCAACAGAATGCATGCTATTACGGTATACCTTACCGGAACAACACTAGCGATAAGCCAAAATTTCTAAGTGAGGGAACGCAAAACTTATGTGGGGATTTTCATAATATTAAAATGACACATTACCCAAGTATTTAACGATCTAAATGGGAAATTTTTATTTTATCAGTTCGATTCATCCGGGCATGAAGAATTGCGATTCAACTTTCCTCTTTTAGTCTTCTTTTTTAAAGGGGAGATAGGCTTCTACTGATACCAGCTTATACTTCATCACTAATCATCAGGTATTTGCGTAAATTGTCGCCTTCATCCAAAAAAAAAAACCAAACTCTTAAAATTAACCACCAGATAAGGTATGTAATTAATAGAAAAATACAATTGACTTATTATTATTTATGCCTAATAAGCTGATATCTGTATAAAAAAAACAACGAGAATAAACATAAACTACAAGAAGGCATTTGTTTTTGTTTTTAACAATGATGTCTTGTTTCCGACTCAATCGATTGATTATGCTCAATAACATTGGAGACATGTCATCTGTTTATTTATATATTCTATTGGTGTCGTCCACAATAACTTCTATAGTTCGTATTATAAAAATATGATAAAGACATAAAGTCATTTATTCAATAACTTATAGTATTGACAGATAAATACCAAGAATATTTTTAAACATCAAATAGGTTGGAATGGTATAGGGACATTATGAGGAGGGATGAAAGTCATTAGACTAGAAGAGTGATGCATATGAATGTGGTTGGAGGGTTTAAGGCTAGAGGACGAAAGAGAAAGATCTGGATGGACTGTGTGAAGAATGATATGTCTGTAAAGGTACGAGTATTGAGACGATGACGATGACGAGTATGATGACGGCAGATAGAAGAAAGTGTAAGGAAAAACATGTTGTGCCGTACCCACCTAGTGTGGGATATAGGCAGGAGTAAGAGAAGAAGTGAAATAGAACTTCATCGCATCATCACATCGTCATTAAATTGCTTTCAGATGCTGAGGGACAATGATTAAAACATGAAAACGTACAAATTTATGTATTCCTTTGAGTGAGAAAGATGCGTATTACATTTTTACTTTAATAAACTGTTCATATATTTTGAACAGTGAATAATCGACTAATCGAGGAACATGAAAACAGGTGGCTCTTGATATTTTTGCATTTTTCCCTTATCGCAAATTTACGTTATTAGCTTATCGAATTGGATAAGTTAATGTTACATAAAGTCATCGTTACTTCTAATTTCAATACCCGACAATGAGTCATAAAAACGTTTAGCATCGAAGAGTTACATTACTTTTTATGGACACATCGCAAGGTAAAAACATTTCCTTATGCTTAATTTTTTACGATCCCTTGGTGAAAACATTTCATAAATATTCTAATTTCTTTAAATATTCAAACACGATGTGACAACTTTTTACAACTATCTTCTTATGCTACTAGTTTTAAAATAGAACACAGCCACACATGGTTAAAGTACCGGTGACTCATTACAGTAGCTCACAACTCATTTTCTTATTTGCTTCTCTACTTCTATTTATGAATCGTCAATGAAGCTTTTATGGTATTACACATAAAGGCTAATTATGTTTTTCAAACTTTTTATTGGACATATTATCGGTCGTTGTACAGTTAAGTAACGACGTTATAATATAAGGTTAATTATCATAATGTTGTAATATAAGGTTTAATTGTCTCCAGGTTCTCTGTTTAGGGATGGCGTCGGGCATTTATTTGTAATTTAAGATCCGCTTCCATATTTTCCCTTTACGGATTGTTTTGCAAAAGGAATCGAGGGTATCACAACATTTATTACAGCCTATGTGATTCTGAAATTCAGAAATTTCTCGACTGGTATTCTCGTATAGGCCATAGTAGTGTATGACGACCTTCCACTAGATGGAGTGAGACGACCTGTGCCAGAGTGGAGGAAGTCGATGGGTGCAAGTGGCTCAGTGTCGTGATTGCTGCCAGTCTGTGGGGGAGGCCTATTTTCAGCAGTGGACAGAAGCAGGTTGAAATAATCAAGATGTACAGGATCACTTTACTAATACAGAATCCTCGATTTAGAAGTACACGTCTTCTCCAAAAGTAACGCTCAGAGCGAGATCTATAAATCCTGTCCACGGCCAAGCAACAATCCACCTTGATGCAAGAGGTCTACTCACCGCCACGATGGGGTTGATGCTGGTGATGTTGTCGGAGAGGCTGCCGTTGGACATCTCGGGCTGGAAGGTCCACCAGCGCTCGTTGTAGTAGGTCACGGTGCTGTTGTCGTTCCACGTTATGTTCTCCTGGTAACGATAACAATACGACGTGAAATTATATACAAGCGCACCGAAATTGAGGAACTTGCAATTCTAGACCGCTATCCCTTTCCGTATCATACGTTCTATATCGTCTGTCACATTCACTTACATATGTCATATTAAAAATTAGGAAAATTACTTTACGACTTTTCACTTAAAAGAAAAAAAAATTGATCGATACACAATCGTAATTCTCAATAGATATTGGAGCTATTGATTTATTATAAATAAACATATTGATGATTAACGTTATGAAGATAATAAATATTTACCGATCGGTTACCGATGTTGCGTGAATGAAGCGTGATTAATATACCCCTGATACTCACCGTATGTTAGATATTGATATATAAACTTTGTAACCTAATGGAAAAAACTGAGAAATGATAGAATGTCCCGAGTCGTCAAAATATATTCATTTGTATAGAATGCATTAAAACGTTTTAGAAATACACGCTCCAAATTTCTCTGCCCGTGACCTTGAGAAATCTTAAATTAAGCAAACTCAAACTCGAATTAAGTAGTGCATCTAAAATTAGAAAACCAGTTCAAATCGAAGTGAAAATCGGCACAATAACGTTGCGTTTTAGACGAGTTCAACATATGTATTTCTTTTTTTTTTGCAAAACATTTCCCTTGCCGTAGTAAGAAAATTATTCCGTTTTGTATGGACGTTCTACAAACATAAATTTCACGTGAACAAACTCGCAGATCCGAAGCAATTGTTTGTGGGTGGCACAAATAGTTCTCCCGTGTGGGGATCGAACCCACAACCCCCGTCGCCAAAGCCAATACCTTGGACACTACGCCACGGAACCGAAAACATGTTGAATCTAAACAAACTAACGATCGGATATTAAAATTACCATTAACTGTAACACTCTATGGAGGAAAAGAAACGTGGCAAGTTGTGCCTTATCGTTGTGTGAGCTTATCCGGAGATGTGACACGGCGTCACAGAAGTTTAACGGTGGTAGAACCACGCAACAGTGTTCGCTGTTGCACGAATGAGCAGGTCCGTCCGGGTTAGTACCACGACCTCACGGAAGACCGGCGTAAAGTAGAAGTGTTGCACTTCTGCGTTTCGTCTGGTGAGCGAGGTAGCCGGGGCCCACATTATTAAGAGGTGGCAACCCATCTGTAACCCTAAGGGTGTTTCAAATGTCCATGGGCAGGCGGTTATCACTTAACATCAGGTGAACCGCCAGTTCGTTTGCCACTTTCTCACATAAAAAAAAAATCCAGTCAGATAATAGCTATCGATCGAGCCGAGGTCCGGCCCTCTCGGGCACCCTCGAATCGGAATGCTAAACGCGTATTGAGTGACAGCCCAAGCCGAGGACCTCTCCCCTTTGAGCCTGTTCATTCCATAGAGCGTCCGCCAAAGCGCCCTAAGGGCTTGGCGGCCTCCCAAACCGGTATTAATAATAGCGTAACGGCCCCAGCCGAGGCTCCCTCGGGAGCCCTCGAGCTTAGTCACCATAACGCGTAATAATAATACGCCGAGGTTCAGGCTAGGCGCCCCGTGCGCCAGGCCACCTGAAATCCGTCGGATCTGTGGCAAGGCCCCTAAGGCCAACGGTGGCTCATCCAGCCAAAAAAAATCACAGACCGGCGTAAATTGGAATTTAACCTTTCGCGTTTTTGAGTGAGGTAACCGGAACGTTTTTAGGGTGTTGCTTATGTTTCTATAATTTAACAAATCCTAAGAAAAACAACTAATCCACTCTTACTCGGAGACATTATACTATTTTTATCAATCTGTCTGCCCGTCTGTCACCAGGCTGTATCTCATGAACCGTGATAGTTAGACAATTGGGATTTTCACAGATGATGTATTTCTGTTGCCGCTATAACAATAATTACTAAAAAACAGAATAAGAAAAATATTTAAGTGGTGGCGCCCATACAACAGACATGATGTTTCTGCCGTTTTTATACACAATGGTACGGAACCCTCCTATGCGAGTCCGACTCGCAGTTGGCCGGTTTTTATGATAATGGGATGGCAATCAACCTCATCTGTCATTGATATTAGCCACTTTAGACCCCACTGAAGAATTTCATTACCGTATCTACACCAAACTCACAATTTTTTTGGTTGACAATCCACCAGTTATATATTTCTCAGTGCCCTTTGAAAAATAAGGATACGGCCAGCTTTTAGAGGTTGTTTATTTTGGTGTCAAATATGATTTATCTTATTTTTATTTTTGATATTTTTGGAAAACTTACAGCTAGAACAGTCATTGTTTGATCAAATTTAACAAAATTAAAGGCCAATTAAAAGTTTTCGGTAATAGATGATCGCTTACGTTTTCCGAACCGGCATTTTTGTGAACCCCCAACTTTAAAATATTAGGGCACATGAGCTGCATTTGTATATTTGTATTAAACAGACTTGTGCGAATTATAAAATATATAAAAACAAATATTGTCCATTTGATATCTATAGCACTCAACGGATTTTATCAGAGCTTAAACCTTTACTTAATGTCCTAGCAATTTCATGAAACGATAACAAATTAAATAATCGATGTTATCACTATAATCACGATAAACTCATATCGTAGCATGTTACAATAACGAATATAAGTCTAAATAAAATTTGGTTTGTGTGGACACGATAGATCATACTGATTTGTCTCAATTTTCATTTCTTTCTACTTCCACTGTTTCAGAGAGCACAAGGAATATGTGACAAGGAACACTTGGCCGCGGAGCTATGACATGTCTTGCAAGTGCAGCATGACGAGAAGCTTCGAGAACAACAACCACGCCACAGAGACCGAGTGAAGCCAGCGAGATCTGCTGCACAAGTCAGAGGCACTGACAAGATTAGCTACAACTTAAAGCAGGCTTGGATAAAAACAAGCCGCTGGATAAAATTAGTCAGTTTTACCCACTGTCCAACAATTTATTACAAGTGCCTATATTCGTCTAAACGGTCCAGAAAGTGTACCTGCAAGACCCAGGGAGTATGCAGTCAATGAGACCACTTTGCATCGCCTTTAGACTTGCAAAAAAGAAAATTGATTCCGCCCAATATTGACGAAATGAAGAAACACCCCAATTAAACACACATCCCAATTAAAAGTACCAATTAAAGTATTTGGACACGTGCTTATTCTACGCGATGCTAATGTACAATAGCACTTTATCCCAAAAACGCCAAAATCATATCGACCTAAGAGGGAACAATATTAAAAGACCGAGAGTAAGTGTGGACACCGTTGCCGGCCACCGTTCAAGCTATAATATCTGTCATTAACATCTGTCTGTTGCGTCGATTTGGCACTCGAGGCGTCAATCCCTAACCAGATAGTAGGAGGGCGCACGCGACTGCAAAACAGGCCATATTGATACGTAAGCTGCTTAAAATTAGCAACACATTCCTTTAAATACGACTCTCTGTTTATTTTACCAATTAAAAGTCGGCGTATGTTGTGTGATTGAATATTATTGTAATATAATATTAATCTCAAGCTCTCTTTTAATTCGATATACTCGAACAACCTGTTTCATTAATGTCGGCACCGGGATTTGCACTGCCAGAGCGCTCAGGCACTGAGCTATCGCGGCTCTTAACTTATTATTACTTATTAAGTTACTTATTTATAATTTTTGCTCCAGAGTACAAGAAAGTTCTTGTTCCTGAGCAATCTATTTAACAAGACTGTCAATTTCAATCTATTATTTCAGAATATGTTACACAAATAGATGAGGTTAACTCGGCACTTAAAGTCCTCGATCTAAAACATTTTACGCGAAAAGACAATCGAAATAATACCTATAAAGGAGGTGAAAATGAAGAAGAGTGAAGAAAAGCAAAAGTGAAAACTTGTAGTGAATGTGAGAACAAGTCGAGAAGAGGCCGTCGATAATGAGAGGGTCATCGCACTTGTTTTAAAAATAAAGTGAAGATTATTTTTTTAATTCAGAACAGGACACTTGACTGCCATCCCACCTGATGGTAAGTGGCGAGGCAGCCGTTGATTGTAAGCTCATTAGATCAGTAAAAACCTATTCACTCTTGCCCTCAAGACGCCTACATTGTCTTCTTCTTTACGTGTCGATGACAAGTAAGATTTTCCGCCCTACGTTGTAATCGGACGGAATGACGGACGCCGTCAGGTCATTCCCTGATAGATTTCTTCTATGTGAAAAAGTGGAAACGAGCTAGCGGTTCACCTGATGTTAAGTGATAACCGTCACCGATGGACACTTACAACATCCGTAGGATTGCAAACGCGTTGCCACCCTTAAACAAAGTTGGCCCCGGCCACCTCACTCGCCGGACGAGACGCAGAATTGTAACACTCCCACTTCACGCCGGTCTTCTGTGAGGTCTTGGTTCTTACCCAGGCGGACCTGCCCATTCGTGCAACAGTGAACACTGCGCGTGGAGCTACCACCGTAAAAATTGACCACCGTGATTGGCGTATAACCGTTTCACTCCAAGCCCGTGCTCTTTTGTGAGACCGTGGTATTTCATCGTACGAGACATTAATGTGGTAAACTACGCAGCAGCCTCGGCTGTTGCACGAATGGGCAGGCTCGTCCGGGTAAGTACCACGACCTCACAGAAGACCGGCGTAAAGTGGAAGTATGACAAATACTTTCGCGTTTCATCTGGTAAGTGAGATGGCCAGAGCCCAATTATCAAAAGGTTGTAAACGCATCTGTAACTCTCGGGTGTAACTCTCAGATGTCCATGGGCGGCGGTATTCACTTAACATTAGGTGAACCGCCTCCTCGTTTGGCAACTTTTCACATATTAAAAAAAATATAAAAAATATATATTTTTTTTTAATATTTCACATATTGTTGGTTGAAAGTTGTTGAAAGGTGAGCCGTGATAGCTCAGTGTCCGGGCGCTCGCCTTTAATTCAATATACTCGAGCAACCTGAGTTCGATCCCCGGTGCCGGCACCAATGAAGTTTTTAACTTTAAGTGCTGACTTATCACGTGCTCCGCGGTGTAGGAAAACATCGTGAGGAAACCTGCATATTTTCGAAATAATAACAAAAAAATATATATTTCGAAAATATGTGAAGTCCGCCAATCCGCAGTGGGGCCGCGTGGTGGACTATGCCCTGATACCCTCTGTATAGAGGAGGCCTTTGCCCAGCAGTGGGACATGTATAGGCTGTTACTTTACTTTATATATATATATTATTAGCTATTTTAGTAACAAATTATTTTTAATTTAACTTTAGTCCCTACCCTGGCCCGTGAATAATAAATGTCAAGATGTTGACTCTTACTATTTAAAGATTAAATCAACTTGACATTCATTCATAAATGTAAATTTTAAGTAAATGGATACGCCAAATTCACTTAATAACCTCCAACATTAGCCATAAATTGGTTTTTAAACTCTTCATATTACGTCCACTCGCTCCTGCAATATGACAACAATCCTAAAAATAGTTTCATTCAACAATATGCATAAAGTAGTTCGTCCGTCGAATACTAGTGATAAGAAACAAAATTCACTCGCGTCATAAACAATGCGACAAGTCAGGGTTGAAGTGCACATCAAATTCAATCATCGGTTATCTATATTATTACATAGCACAGTTTAAACTACCGTTTTGATAACTTTTTTACAGTAGATATCTATGTTGTTTTGTTTATAAAGTATAAACTGTGCATTTGTGTAGGTAAATGGATAAAAACTTTCGGCGCTGTGAGATTCTAGCCCGCGTCTCCTGGTTTCCCGCCCAGACGCTTTACCGACTAAGCTAAGGTGCTGAAATCTCACGACGAGAAAAGTATATTTAAAAACCTACATACGCACCGTTAGTTACTATTAAGATGGTTTATATTAGACTATTGAAAGAACATTATGGAGGAGAGGTGCTGCCTAATACAACCAATCTTTTGCTTAAAACGTACCAACCCCAACAACGATTTTATTAGGCTAAGTTATTGAAATAGACATTTTAGTACTTTGAACATGTTACAAACATGATCGTGTAGACGGCCTCTCTTGTCATGATATGTCCACTCCTACAAGTACAAAAATGTAACGCATGAATTGCGTAGGCATCAGACCCAAAGGTCTGGTGAGTGCGGAAGCCGGGGCCCACATTATTAAAAGGTGGCAACGCATCTGCAACTCTATGGGTGTTGCAAATGTTCATGGGCGGCGGTTATCGCTTAACATCAGGTGAATCGCCAGCTCGGTTGCCACCTTCTCACATAAAAAAACCCTTCGATTCCGTCGAAATTTGAGCAATACTCCAGACCCTACCGGACTACCAAATTGACAGGGCTATGAAATTAATAATCCTGATTTCATGGAAATGTTCGAAACATTCCCTGTGAACAACATAAATGAGGTTTAACTTAATAAAATAAAGTGTCATAAAGAAAGTAGTGAAAGCTTTCCTAAGCCAGATTGACATCGCCCAATCGCTTCGCCTAACCCGTCACTAAATATTATGTTTAAGAAATCAAATGTAGAAAGATTCAAAAGCAATTACTGTAAGTACGCCATGTTAAGAATATTTGACAGTATATATTGTACAGTTGGCAATAAACTCACCATATAAAAATAATAAACAAAAACAAACAGTACGAAATAACTGCATATCTTAACAAATTAAATTAACGTTATCGTAACTGTCATTAATAACCTCTCATATCTTTCTGTGCTGCGATTTTCAGAGCGTAAGTAACAAGTGATATAAGCAGATATTTAAAAGTAATTAATTAGATAAGTCGTCAACTTCAACCACTCAGGCAAAATTGTTTGCTGCTGATAAAAATCGTTCTTAATGTCATATATTTTTTGGCACGTTTGGAATAATTATGAGAGTAAAATTTTTACCATGCGCGCGCAAAACGACTCTTAAAAGGTGACATGATGCGAATTTAATCTTGGCAACTAAGAACAACATTAACATCATCACATAGTATAAAACAAAGTCGTTCCGCTGTCTGTCTGTCCATATGTATGCTTAGATCTTTAAAAGTATACAACGGATCTTGAAACGAAAGTATCAACGGTATTGTCTACTAGAAAGAGTGATTCAAGAGGAAGGTTTATATGTATAATACATTGCACCCGGAACGTTTGACGAAACATTGGACGAAACCGGGGCGGGTCGCTAGTTTACCCATAAATTGCAAGATCTGAAAAAAACCGTTATTATTTGCAATTAATGTCTTTACGCTAAAGAAGTAAACTTATTACGTACACGCATACTTCTTTTTAATTTTAATAACTTTAAGTTAAATGAAGATATCACAAAATTTTTATTTAAAGATTACGACAGATACACGGTTTGTGTGAGAAATAAAACTTAGAGTATTAAATAAAATCTATACAATAGTTTTCTCCATGATTCCCGTGAAACGGCACACCTTTATCATTCTATTTGTATACATTACGGGGGAAAGAATCCTATCCTATACTTTGACAGAACTTATAAACTTGAGTTTTACGTTCTAAATTTCATTTGGAACCGATCAGTTGTCACACACCACCAGAATCAGAATGAATATGAGAGCGCAAGGACGCATGTAGAAACGCTCGCAGGAACAGACACAAACACTTCTGGCTTCTTCTTCCCCGTTCCCTCAATGCTGAGGATCGTGACCACGAACAATATATCTCCAAGGGCGATCATGCGACTCATGGACAGCCCGATACATGCTACCGCCCACTGCTCCCTTCACAGCATCTGACCATCTTGCAGACGCCCTGACCAGAGCGTGTTTGCCATCTAAGTGGCCCAAAATAATGAGCCTCTCCAGATCTCGTCGCGATTAACGACCGTGACTGAAGAAGCGAAGTGCACGTTCTTGGCATAGCACACACACACACACACACACACACACACGCACGCACGCACGCACGCACGCACGCACGCACGCACGCACGCACGCACGCACGCACGCACGCACGCACGCACGCACGCACGCACGCACGCACGCACGCACGCACGCACGCACGCACGCACGCACGCACGCACGCACGCACGCACGCACGCACGCACGCACGCACGCACGCACGCACGCACGCACGCACGCACGCACGCACGCACGCACGCACGCACGCACGCACGCACGCACGCACGCACGCACGCACGCACACACACACACACACACACACACACACACACACACACACACACACACACACACACACACACACACACACACACACACACACACACACACACACACACACACACACACACACACACACACACACACACACACACACACACACACACACACACAAAATTTTAAAGTTTTTTATACTGCTACGAAAAGATCGTCGCCGCTGTGGGAATCGAACCCACGTCTTCGGCATTCGCGGCCTGACGCTCTAGCCACTGAGCTAAACGGCTGGCCTTATTTCTACATTGTTATTTAGCATTTGAAGCAATGCTTGGCGCATCTATTGTTATATCCTTTCCAGCATACAAACTTTTTCTACATGTTTTAACACACAGAATTGTCAATTTCGGTGAGAGTGACGTGGACACAAAGAAGTGGACTCTTACCTTGGCGTGACGTTCCTTGTACACGTAGGGTCCCAACTCCACCACCTTCAGGGAGACGTTCTTTCCGGCCAGGATCTCGTCCACGTTCGTGATATTGAACATATAGCACTCCAAGTACATGGGGATCGGGATTTCGCGCCAGATCGAAAACGAGGTCGACTCCTTGGTGAGGATCATCATCTGAAATTGGAGTGCGGATAAGTATGCTGGTCTGTGGTAATGCTGGCCTACTAGCTAGTTCCCGTTTCGCCTAGGAAAATCTACCGTTTTTAATGAAAATTTAATTAATCCAACTAAACGTCACTAAAGTCATCTATCAGTTACCACTGTAACCTTATTAGTTGGTGTTCCAATGCTGGCACATGCACATGATATACAAAATTTAGTATCACATAGAAGATATAGACAATACATATGACATAAAGAAATAAAAAGTAATATTCAACGACTAAATATAATAATTTGTAGACGGTCGAAATAACGCAAATTGCAAGTCGAATCTGATATGTTTTAATAACGCGTAGTAGACACTTCGGTGGAAACACTCAGAAAATCTAAAATTCTAATTATTGCTAATTATCTGGGTTTTTTTTCGTGTTCGAATTCTCTAATAACCACCGATCTGCGTAAAGATCCGCATGTGTTATACCAATTTGGTGATCGTATTAATTATATAGATATGGTGTTTCAGTAAAGATTTTTTAATAAGAAACGCGGAAAACTTAAGGTCCGTCTGCATTTGAAAAGGCTTGGAATTTCCGTTTTATTGGTACCATCACTTCATGGCATGATGTAAGCGTCCCTTCAATTCTTGAATAGGGTTTAATAAACCATCTTCTTCTTTCTCCTGCCTTTATTCCACCATTAGATAGATATACATAATTAAATTAAAGTGAAGTAACAGCCTATACATGTCCCACTGCTGGGCAAAGGCACCGCGCGGCCCCACTGCGGATTGGCGGACTTCACATATTTTAGAAATATATATTTTTCGGTATTATTTCGAAAATATGCAGGTTTCCTCAAGATGTTTTCCTTCACCGCGGAGCACGTTATAAGTCAGCACTTAAAGTTAAAAACTTCATTGGTGCTGGCACCGGGGATCGAACTCAGGTTGCTCGAGTATATTGAATTAAAGGCGAGCGCCCGGACACTGAGCTATCACGGCTCTTATATATATATAGATATACATTATATTCCTTTATTCTTAACAATACAAATTGTTTAAAGATTTTTAAAGTGCTTATCTCTGCACTTAAGATTAAACATTAAAACTTGTAGAAAAAGTAAGAAAAGATTGTCGCCGCTGAGGGAATCGAACCCACGTCTTCGGCATTCGCGGCCTGACGCTTTAGCCACTAAGAAAATCTTAACCATCCTTTTGGGAACTTAAATACCACTTGCAAAGCCATTTGACAGCTGATTAGTAACTTCTACAATGATCAGTATTTCAGAAACCGAGCGTTAGTCTGACGCTTACCGATTGTAACTGAGCGAAGAATATGGTCGGCCAGTACACCACCATCACAGCGCCAACGACCACGAACATGGCACCGAAGCCCATCAGGAAACCGCTCTTCACGGCCACCGAGACCATTTTTGCTTTGTTTTGTGTCCTGTTGAACAATGGAGACCAATCAGAGATGCTATGGAAAGATCTAAAAAGCGTTAGGTGTCAACATCTAAGATTTCGGTAAATATAACACAGGTGAAATTGTTAATTTTAAGTGTTGTATGTGGCCGCATGGTAGACCAAGAAACAACATATGTACAGACAAGAGCATCACCATCCGACTGTCTTCTCATCCTTAGCGGTATCGACTAAGCTTTACGACCGATCATCTAGCAATCGGCAATCCTTCCACGGCAATAAACAGCCAGGGCAATTATCCAAGCGTGACACGGATTCAACCGTGCCTACGAGTCATCGTGTAAGAGAAACTCTTTATTCTGATGTGAAAAGTTGCCGAACGAGCAGACGATCCACCTGATGGTAAGTAAATATGCCGCCCATGGACATCTGCTTCACCCGAGGGTTATAGATGCGTTGACAACCTTTTGAAAATTGGGCTCCGGCTACCTCACTCACCAGACGAAACGCGAAAGTATTTGTCATACTTCCACTTTACGCTGGTCTTCTGTGAGGTCGTGGTACTTACCCGGACGGGCCTGCCCATTCGTGCAACAGCCTCGGCTGTTGCACGAGTTGCGTGGCCCTACCACCGTAAAATGCATTACAAATTATCGTAACTAAGAGTTGAATACGAGTGGTTTTACATTGAACAGCGCGAGATTGGGCACGTATATATGTGCAATCAAAAGAAAGCAGGATGCGGAATCATGGCACAATTGCTGTACCCTCCCACACAAACGCCCACGAGCAAATTATATCGGAGGAATATTAATTTAGGTTTAAAATAGAACTAAAAAGCATCTGCGCGTTCGCACTAGTTTCTTATGTGTTAAAGAAACATTGCCTTTGTTGTAAGGACATACTTTGCTTTAAATACATAAATTGCACGTGCACAAACACCCAAATCCGAAACAATTATATGTGGGTCACAGAAATAGTTGCCCCATGTACGAATCAAACCCACGACCCCCGAAGCCGAAGCCACTCGGCTTCGGGGGTCGTGGGTTTCTAAAGTGTTATGATGACTCTCATCATAACACTACACTGCTTGCGATCATAGAAAGTGACAATATTTGATGTCACTTTACAAGGAGTATGCCCCATAAATTTCTCATTTAACACGCCCTTTATTTTTGCTAAGATCGATTGATTAATTAATAGAATACCACGTGACTACAGATGACACAACATTACACCACAATTTGTAACTTGGATACTTAAATAAATTAGAAAAAAATAAGTCGATGTTCCACTAGACAGGCTTAGTGTAAAAAAGCAAAACAACACTCGAGTACAAAACAAAAAAAAGTCGAACCATATCTAATAATAAAGTTTAAACATAATACACTTGCAATCAAGTCATTTCACGCCCGAATTGAATCATTAACATATTTATAATTCTTCGCGTTACGAACTTGCCTTTCCTCCTCTAAAAATGCCATGACCCAAAAGAATAAGTCTATGACTCCCATTGCCTCACAATTTAAACTTATTCTCTTTTTAATTACTTAATAACCATTACCTTTCACAAGACTTAATATATCTTAAATATAAGTTACACAATGATATGTAAGTTTAACACATTTAAAATGTCTCAATATACACTTGTATTGTGCAATACCAGTATACTTTAAAGTAGACTACATAAGACTTGCTGCAGTCGCCTTTAATTCGAATTAACACATATAATTGATTTGTATAAAACGTAAAAAAAATCTTAAATGATTGAAATCATTCATCAATCAGAATGATCTTAATGATCAGAATGGTCAATTCAAAGAGTTTATCCATCCTTTTGGCAACTCAAATGACATTTGACAAGCCATTTGACAGCTGATTAGTTAACATCTACGATGATCAGTGTTTCAGAAAGCGGCGTTAGTGCTGTATTTGTTTAATTGTGTTTATTCCATAACAAAACCTATTAATAATAACTCAATAGAGAAGTTCACAAGAAATTTAAAATATTCAATAATGGGTTATTGAATATTTTAAATTTCCACCCGAATTCGCGAATTGCCTTTCTTAATTAACAGTCGATAATATTCTGCATGAACTGATATCTCACTCAAATCGAGAAGTGGACGCATTAGAAATTCAGTGTTTAAAATATTTACTCCAAAATAGACTCAAACACAAATCGATAAGAATATTATCAGTTTATGTAAAACAATATTTTCCGTTTTAATATATCGGTTTTTTTTTAAATCTTTTAAATGGCGGCAAATGTATCTTGGCTTTGTCACAACAAACACCGCGGAGACAATTTACATAAAAATTACTTAATTGGTCGAATCAAGTTTTGCGATGAGCATTATTGTGTGCATCCGGAATAGGCGATTTGGGGCAATAACGCGTTATTTGAAATTTTTCAGAGATTTTTGTGTATGTTTTTTTTTTATGTACCCCGCCCATATATTTGGGAAATGCCAAAAGAATTACTTGAATGAATTTTAGAAGAAGCAAAATGAATTGTAGAAATTTATCAATTGCATCCCATTGAAAATATTCGACGGTTAATGCAAGTTGTAAATTGTTGCAATTTTTCCTCGAACATCGTTAACCACGACTGAGATACACTAAGTATTACTGCCTCACGAAAAACCGGCGTCACGATTATTTTGTAAAACTGATTTTAGGCTTTCAGCCCTTAGACTATTAAAGCTACATCGAACGCAGAACACGTGATCTAGCCAGAACCCGTAGGTTCAAGGTATGTGCGTAGCCAGAACCCGTAGGGTCAAGGTATGTGCGTAGCCAGAACCCGTAGGGTCAAGGTATGTGCGTAGCCAGAACCCGTAGGGTCAAGGTATGTGCGTAGCCAGAACCCCAGTAGCCAGAACCCGTAGGGTCAAGGTATGTGCGTAGCCAGAACCCGTAGGGTCAAGGTATGTGCGTAGCCAGAACCCGTAGGGTCAAGGTATGTGCGTAGCCAGAACCCGTAGGTTCAAGGTATGTGCGTAGCCAGAACCCGTAGGGTCAAGGTATGTGCGTAGCCAGAACCCGTAGGGTCAAAGTATCATGCGTGCATTAATTATGGCGTGTCGTCTACGGGCCATCGAGGTTCGCTGCCGACTGTGACCCCGATGGCCGCCGACTTAGTTAGCGCGTCAGGGGTCTATACACTTACACCTGCTTTTATTCCGCTAAGTCAAGTAGCCAGGTCCTTCATCAGATAATTTTAAAGTAGACGTCACACCGTTTAATGCTCCGCTTAGCCTTTCACCCGATAAATAATTTCATCGTCTTTCAGCTTAAAAACGAAACTGCAATCTCATAGGTGTTTTAACGTTGTTTTGCCACGCGTCAAAAAAAAAAGTAAAAATAATAAATTACAATTACATGATCTCCCACCAAGAATTGCAAATATCACTAATCCAACTATAGAAAGACAGCCATCTAGACCTTTGTGGTCCCTGCAAACATTATTGATCTATTTAAACATTATTATCATTATTTGGATGAAATTACTTGTCTGGTCCATTTTTGCAGCATGCACAATTTCGACATTAAATAATAATTGACAGTAGCTCTTGTGTTGGGAATAAAACTGAAATCTGTTATATTACTATGGATGCGGTAAGACATTCAATACACGAAACGAATTATGTTTGACAAATTCCAAATTGGAGATTCGCTAATCTTTCAATGAGGTAAATTTTAATCTTTATCTAAATACCATGCAGACGATGATAGATATTAAGATGTCCCCCACAGATTACTTGTCACCGATTCTAAACAATTAGACATTAAGTCATGACGATGTGTGATGAGTCTAGCAGTTCTATTAGCTTCAATTGTTGTGTGTAATAAAGTCACTACATACAAATTATAGTATACATACATACTATATTATAATTTACCTTTTTCAGGTCAATTTTAATTTAAATTCCTTTCTCGCCTACCATGGCATACTTTAAAATAGAGAAGCGACCTTTGATGACCATAAATTTAAAAATATTATAGAGAGGTGAGATTTGTGTCTTCCATGTAATGGGGAATAGCTTTAAGCAACTGAATCAATTCTGAAATTGATTTAAATAGGCTACGTGATAAGGCAAAGAGTAACTACGGATATAACGTAACTAAAATTTCGTTTTCGTACAAAACAGAGGGCGTTAGTTATAAATGAACAGAATGTTTATGCTTAAGTAGCACACAGCGAGCTTTTTTACTTGGCAGCCCTACTTAATGTTTAAATAAGTTCTTAAATTAAACATTAAATACTACTGCCCGATTTTTTCTCAATTAACTTCACAATTTCCAGCATTCCTCGTGTCGATATTGTATAGAAAGAAGTAAGGAAGTACGAGAAAATACAAAACCACGCACGTCACTTAATTTCCTGTTGTTATTTTTATCATGTTTATTTTTCATTTTTCAAAACCAAATGACGCAAGCCGCTAAAAATTACGCACCAGTTGGCCTTTTAATTGAGCGATATATTTATAAATAGAACACAAGGTACGGAAAAAAATGTTAAATTTCATTAGTTGAAGCAATGGCGAACAAAAAGTAATATAAGGAAGTTAACCTTAATGGTGAATTTGGAAGACTTGTGTAGGCGACATTTCATCACGGCACATCGATTACAAATATCTGTTGGTGAGGGAAAGATGTATAGACGGCGCAATAGAGATTTAGTAAGTCAATTGAGGCACGTTTTAAATTAGTAGAACCTCCGGTCAATCGGGCGTGATGACGACCAGCGCGCTTATTTCGTCGAGAACTAGGTCGATACACAGCATGCGGGGACTCCCCGCTTCGTGCCACACGTATTGGGGAATCTCCCGCATCCCGAACACCTCCCCAATCGACAAGAGTTAACTGGGTTCCCGGGGTATGGACTCCCAATGCGTTCCTTGCTGACAGCTGAATTCGCGACCTTATAAACGAAATCATTAGAAAGTTATAGATCAATTTTATGGATTACATGACGTTTTATTATGGCTTCATCGGGTGACATTTTAAATACAGTTTCATTTATGAATGTGCCATGTTAATATAAGAAGCCATTGTTTGTAAAAGAAACCACTAACATACCTGATGTTCTTGATCACATGAGCGGCCCTATGGCAGAGGAGAATTATATAGAGTTAGAGCTCTTCATTCGATGATATTTTTGTTATATATAGATTGAAAACTAAAACATTAGTAGTATTACATTAAGATGAAGATAAATATTGTAAAAGGTAATGACAGCCGTCTATGGAAATGGACGTTGAACCTTTCAATTCATTCAATTTCAATACTAGTTTCACAAAATATTTTTTTTTTCTATAAACTATTATGTTATGTATGATTAATGACTACAAATAAGATTAACTTGTTTATTTGACTATATAAAGCGCTTGACTTTCCGTTAGATTTCTTCATTGAAATTTCTACAAATAGTCTGAAAGCGTTTTAGTCGATCCCTTACAGTCGATCATGTTCATTCCAAACGAAGTGCCATCATTTAACTCAAAATTGTCTAGAGTAGAAATCGGTCTGATCTTAATTTCAGGATGGAACACGGAATATCTGAATTACTTGTGTACTTTTTCTTATATAGGGACGATGCTCGAAAACATGTTCGAAAGTCATGGCAAATTAGAACGGAATTCAGTGTAACCTACAAAGCAAAATAAGACCTATCCAGTCAAGTACAATGAATGAAACATTTGTGAAAACGCTTCATGAGATTTCAAAAGGTTAAAGTTCTAAGAAATTTTCGTCTCGCAATAATGAAACAACGTTTCATCGTCATCGTTCATTTCGACCCGTGTGGCCTTTTCCCCTAGATACAGATGGAATTTTGTAGATCTTAAAGATATATAGATAAATTATAAAATATTCAACGGTGGTAAATTTCAACACTCCTAAATAATGCACAATTTCAGCGAAAAGCAAAGCTTGAAAATATCAGGAACTAGTCGGAAATTTGCTAAACAAATAAGCGTCACGGTGATTCTGAGTTTGAGATTCTGGTGAGGTATTATTCTATTATTATACAGGTTCATCCGGGGAACCACGACTCAACAGAAGACGGGCGTGAAGTGGTTAATGTATAATTTTACGTCTCGTCACGTGAGAGATTTTTATTGATTGGCAACTTTTCTACAACCCGTCACGTGTAGTAGATGTCGCGGCGGTAATCACTTAACACCAGGTGAACAGAGTGGTCGTAAAAAGGGTCAAAATGCTGAATATAAACGAAACCTTAATCATATGTACTGCAGCATGGTAAGAATTAAAAATTCATGTAAAAACATCCTGCAGCAGAAACGAATATTTTAGTAAGATATATCTTCTGTTTGTGTTCAATTCTGTCAGTTTCCGTGCTGGTTTAGAAACTTTTTCTCGTTCAAACGATTTAAGAAATTGTTCTTAGTCTTCCATATCGAGATAAGCTCTGTACATGCATGGAGCGATAAAAGCTAAATTTAATAGATTCGAACTTTGGCCACCATACGAAATGTCCCTGATATGTTTCAGAAAGAATTCAAGTAAATCTTGAAACTACACTGTGACATTAACGAACACGCGAATTAAAAAAACAGCTAAAAGATCAAATCTCGAAGAGACATATCAGAAGTTACAAGTTTAAAAAAAAGATAAATCGGTTAAAAACGTAGCGTTTGATTACCACGGAAGAGCTGTTGCACTGGCTCTGGTATCGCGCTAACGGTTAATCAAGTTAAGAGGTAAAGACACCAAACATCTAAAAAGAAAGACTGAAATCCACTATCATTATAAATGTGCATTCGTGTTCCGTCGTCGCGTCAATGGCATAGCTTATTGGTAATGAACACTGTGTGTATGTCGGATTTATTTGGGGTCTGTTGGCGCGTCTAAATTATTAACACAAGCATATTTATGTCGTAAAGAAACAACGGCGAAAGTTGTTCGGTTCAGTGAGATTTGGAAAAAAATATTCAGGGGAACGGTGGATGCAGACACCGGACCAGTTTTATATATTCTGTAACAGTGCTAATGTCCTATCGTTTTCTGTGAATTATTTCACATTATTCAAATCATTAGATCCTGTTTTATTTTTTTTTTTAATTTTATTTCGCTCTTAAAACAATCTGAGAATAAATTCCAATTACTGAATTGAAATTTCGAATAATTAATTAAGCATATGTATTTTTTTTTTTTTTAATTTAAGCTTCGACGAAAAGCGGTCGGCTATCGGGTTTTCGGTGGGTAGTAAGTTTGGTGTTTTATTCTATTACATACGCAAATGATTTTTATCTATATATTATTTTTTAGATTTAATTATCTATATATTAATACTTGAAGCAAAAACTTTGTTATATATAGACAAAACACCTTTTTACGAAAATTGCGCGGACCCAGGAGTATGAAATTTCGCACTTATAGTTTATGGTTCCGTATGTATGAGCGTTCCGTATTCCTTCATAGCGAAGGAATACGGAACGCTAATATATTTTTTGGATTATGCATAAAAAGTACGTTAAATCGATAAAAGAAACATTACACACACTAGTATGTATAATTATTTATGGTCGAATTTCAACCACTGCGCAACTAAAACTACTAGTTACAAAACTGATTTGAGTTAGTAAATTTTCCATCGTCTTATTATATGGAACATTTCACTCCTTTCGCGAATTATCCTTGGGAGTAATCGGTGATATCTACAACAATTTGTGGCGAATGTAATGTGGTGGTATAATTTTATATACATAAAAAAATATGTATCGTATTATGAAATGTGAGCGACCATGAATTCTGCAAAACATTCAAAACGTAAAGACTTAAAAAACAAAATTAAACAAGTAATCAGTAACGTTAAGTTTAATTTTGTTGGTTGACCTACATGTTCTATGCACACTTCACGAATATGATAATAAAGGAAGACAAGGCTCTTTTCTAACTATTCCAAAGATACTATTAATATTAGAGAACATGCTTATCGTTGTATCATAGGGAACATAAATTAATATTAAATTCATGCCTATATACATAAAATAATATCATATAGTGCTGTTATATTAACGAGAAATCAGTCTAAATTTTGTTTTTTATATTTAGAAGAAGAAGAAGAAGAAACGTTTATTCACGGTCTAAGCAAATTTACTGGGTTTCTTTCGTTAATTATATTGCAATAATTGAATGATTAAGTAATTAATTGATTTAAACAAACAATGGCCATCTATCACTGAATCCAAATTTGATCCGTCTCTAACAAATGAGAGCAAGTGGACTATTACTATCATGTAAAACTGAAAATTCTTTAAAAACAAAATTATAAACAATTGAACATTCAACAAGCAAGCTTCAGAAATGTGCTTTCAAAATTGTCAAAACTTATATACTCCCATGAATCTCAGACGCTTATGGAGCGTATTTTATTTCATTTTTTTACGATTGCCATCTACACAATTGAGACAAACGACATTGGATATAATGGCAGACTATCGGCGGGAAATAAGTACACTTAGCGAGATTCCGATATACCACCCTGAGGGACACCTGGGAATCGCACAGAAAAACGTGCGGCTCTCTGATGCTAGTCGACACTACTGGATAAGCACAACACTGAGGCATTCACGAAGGGTATACCGCCCACTGATCTGACCGTCCACCGCGAGCGTGCACCACCACCTTAATTAGAGCAATTACGACAGGCTTATCGCATATACGGCAGCGCCACGACCGGCTTATCGCCACCCACCAGCAGGAGTCCTTGCGGTTGCGCACTTTCAGCACCCGCTTCTTCGCCGCGCTCTGCACGAGGGCGTCCAGGCGCACCCTTAAGCCAATGTTCTCCTCTCGCGCCATCGTCAACCCAGCCCGACCAGCTCGGGCCAAACTCGCGCGCGAACTGCCACCGGCCACAGCACGGCGGCGGATCCTTCTGCCCGAGACTAAAACCGGATCCATCGCGGACGAGCGACTGTTGCGCTGAAGTCCGCCTAGCTTTTTTCATATGTCCTCCCTCCCGAGTGTTCAGTTATGCATTCGTCTGTTCGTTGTCGCGAATACATTTGGAATTCGCATGTCCATTAGCATGTGCGAGTTGAATATTCGGCGCCAACTAATTGGGCAACACCGAGACGTCTGGCGATTATAGATTGATCCAAAATTCGAATGAATCGGTTGTGACAATACAAAATGTATTATTGTTTTAAAGCATTCTAAGTCGACTTTAAGATATCCTTCGACTGTGTATCAACACTGTAACGCAGGTTACTTTAGAGTTTTTCTGTATATCACTTTCGGCTCACGATGACTTCTACCTGTTTATTGGGCCATATTATTCCGATTTAAACTTAATATGAGAATTAAGAATTCATTGGGAAAGCATAAAAGGCGACACGGCTCCAACAGAAGCCGATTAAACGCTCAATTTACTTTCACTATGGTCTTAAAAAATATCAGCGTAAAATACATATTTAAATCGTATTCAATGTCTTAATTTTTATGGCATCACATTACACATTACTGCCAAATTTATAGACGCAAGATACGAGATAAATGCGATTTTTCTTTCACACTATATTATCCAATTTTTCAATCAGAATATCCTTATTTGTAGAAACATAAATCATTGCTTTCAAATATATCATTTAGATAAAGCCTTAATTATAAACCAATGTAATATATTATAAACAATATGTGATTTAATGTTTTGTAAGATAGTAACGCTGAAAATCTTATTGCAATACGAATAATTTGTATTTACAATATTTTAATATATCTTTATATATATAATTCTTCTGTACGTGTGGACATCACTGAACTCCTCCTAAAATATCTCTTGCCTTCTATCATCTGCCTTCTGGAAGGAGCACACGATTTTGCAAAATTTAGAGACTAAAGGAATGCGAATGCAGATATTAAGAGAGAGAGAGAAACAACCAGTTCCTTTTGGATATTTCTGAGCTAAATAAAAATAAAGGCAAATGGGTAAACGCCTGCTGCCGCGTCCCACTCACCATAAAAGCTATTTTAAGACTTCCCTTTAAATACTTGTTTTTACTTACTTGATAACTGAGCCAGTAGAACAGCAGAATGCGTGTATTAGATATCTTAAAAAGAACTTACTTCTGGAATTTTAAACATTCGCATATATTAAAAAAAACAATTTCGGCTATCACACGTGTTACCTACTTACTACTTATCTGGCGAAAGATTAGGATTTTTATCTAATCGAAATGAAAAATTAATACGATTCCAATATAACGTCCGGATATTGCACGGGAACGCAATATATATTATGATGATCCCTAACCTTTGATATATGCACACGGGATTTTTTTGTTACAATCTGCTTCGTTCCTTGCCTGTGTAAGTTAAACAAACTATCTATGATGCAACCATTTTTGCATTTGTAGAGAAAATAAGCATATTGATGTCTTTCATTTTTTTATGGATTTAGTAGCTACAGATCTATAGTCTGTCAGTATTAATTTAATTATAATGACTTAAAGTTAGGTTATGTTAGGTTTTGGGATTCGATTTTTGAAGTTTTTATTTTGTAATATAAAATTGAGATTTAAAAAAAAACTTGAAATTGTCGGAATCGTGTTATCTCACAAATGAAGCCATTAATAATAAGAAGTAGAATAAGATTTTAAATTAGGCTATGTTTTATTAGAAAAGCGTGTAAAAGTAGATAGTTTCTAGCATAAATAAAAGGAATTACATAAACTAAAGTAGATAAAGTAGAAGACGTAAATGCTTTTAATGTTGGTTTTTTGTTGCATTCATTTCAGGTGAGTTACTCTGTTAGAATATGTAAATTGTCAAAAGTAAAGTAAAGTAACAGCCTATACATGTCCCACTGCTGGGCAAAGGCCTCTTCTACACAGAGTCTTCTACACACTGCGGATTGGCGGACTTCACATATTTTCGAAATATTTTTTTTTGTTATTCTTTCGAAAATATGCAGGTTTCCTCACGATGTTTTCCTTCACCGCGGAGCACGTGATAAGTCAGCACTTATAAGTGTGACCCCGCCGAGTCGATCGCGATAAAAAAATAAACAAGTCCATTAAAACCAATCATTGTCAAAGAAAAAAAAGCGTCGATTGGATCGAAAAACAAAGACCTAAGTTCTATATCGATAAAATATCCAACACTGTAATTTAAGCCTAGATTCAAAAGCCTTTTTTATAAAGTCTAACCACAGGGGAAAAAAGTACGCCACGAAGGACGTTATTAAGGCACCGTCACTGTCCATTTTCGACGGATCTAAATACACCAGTAACCTAATCATTAGGATCTTATGCACATTTTATAGGCAACAAAAAAGACCATCGGCAAAACAATTTGGACAAATTTTCTCACACTCAAGAACGTTCGGAACAAACAATGTTTTGCGACACGTGATTATTTTTGACATTAGGCAACAAATAATATGGTGTAGATATAATTATAAAAAATAATTGACCGCACACAATGTGAGCCGTGATAGCTCAGGGTCCGGGCGCTCGCCTTTAATTCAATATACGCGAGCAACCTGAGTTCGATCCCCGGCCGGCACCAATGAAGTTTTTAACTTTAAGTGCTGACTTATCACGTGATCCGCGGTGAAGGAAAACATCGTGAGGAAACCTGCATATTTTTGAAATAATAACAAAAAAAAATTTTTCGAAGATATGTGAAGTCCGCCAATCCGCAGTGGGGCCGCGTGGTGGACTATGCCCTGATACCCTCTGTATAGAGGAGGCCTTTGCCCAGCAGTGGGACATGTATAGGCTGTTACTTTACTTTTACTTTTACACAATGTGTTTACCATAGAACGAGAACGGCACAATTCGGATAGACACATTTATACGTACACGAATCCGGAATACTGGTGGCTGCAAAAAAGTTACAACCAAGCTAACCTCGTTTTTTAAAAATCAGCATGAATTATGATGATTTCAGTAAAAAGGAAATTTCAACAAACTTGGAACTAAAAAGGTCGGCCTTAGGGTCTGGACACTTCAAAGAAGCAGATTTGCTAATTATGCCGCGGTGGACAACGCAATAGTCTTCATTGTTGCACGAGTGGGCACGGCCGTCTGGCTAAGTTTTTTTTTTTTTTTTTTTTATGGAGAAAAGGGGCAAACGAGCAGGAGGCTCACCTGATGGTAAGTGATTACCGCCGCCCATGAACACCTGCAACACCCGAGGGCTCACAAATGCGTTGCCGGCCTTTTAAGAAAGAGTACGCTCTCTTTTTGAAGGTTCCCAGGTCGTAACGGTTCGGAAAGACCGCCGGCGGCAGTTGGTTCCACAGAGTGGTTGTGCGAGGCAAGAAATGCCTTAAAAATCGCGCTGTTGTGGAACGTTGGACATCGAGGTGGTGTGGATGAAATTTTTGGTTCTGGCGCGATGTCCGATGGTGGAATTCAGCCGCCGGGATCAATCCAAACAATTCCTCAGAACACTCCCCGTGATAAATGCGGTAGAAGATGCAGAGTGATCCAACATCTCTACGCAGAGCCAGAGGATCAAGCCGATCGGAAAGACTTTGATCGTCGATAACCCTAGCCGCCCTACGTTGAATGCGGTCAAATGGAAGAAGCTGGTAATAGGGGGCTCCCGCCCAGAGGTGAGAACAGTACTCCATGTGGGGCCGAATTTGCGCCTTATACAGGTTTAGGCGTTGGGCAGCCGTGAAGTACCGTCTCGCCTTGCTGAGCACGCCAAGGTTCTTTGAGGCCAATTTGGCCTTACCTTCCAATTGACCGCGGAACTGGACGTTGCTCGAGATTTCGACGCCAAGCATTCCGATACTAGCTGTGGCAGATAGCGAAGTGTTCTCGAAATGAGGAGTCACGACAAATGGGGACTTTTTAGCGGTTAAGGCGCAAACTTGTGTCTTTTTGGGGTTGAATTGGACTAGGTTTAGTCGACCCCATTCTGAGACTTTGGTTAACAAAGTCTCGACCTCAGACACAAGCTTGTTCCGACACTCGTAGACGTTTTCCCGAGAAATGTTAGCTCGGCCAGTGTACGAGACATCCACAGTGCTATCGTCTGCATAACAATGGACGTTGCTGATTTGCAACATGTCATTGATATGCAGAAGAAACAGAGTAGGAGACAGTACGCAGCCTTGTGGAACACCAGCATTGACAAATTTAGGATCGGAGCATGCACCGTCGACGACGACCTTGATGCTCCGATCTGCCAAAAAGTTGGTGATCCAATTGCATAATTTTTCGGGAAGCCCATAGGAAGGCAGCTTCGAAAGAAGCGCTTTGTGCCATACCCGATCAAAGGCCTTCGCTATGTCCAGACTGGCTGCAAGCGCCTCCCCCTTGCTCTCAACTGCTTCTGCCCATCGATGTGTAAGGTAGACCAGAAGATCACCGGCTGAGCGACCCCGACGAAATCCATACTGGCGGTCGCTAATCAGCCGGTGCTCCTCTAGGTACCGCAGGAGCTGGCCGTTGATAACAGACTCCATTATCTTGGAGAACAAGGAGGTGATGGCTATTGGCCTGTAATTGGACGGATCAGAGCGGTTGCCTTTTTTAGGGATCGGGTGCACTAACGCGGCCTTCCATGATTTCGGGACTACGCCTAAAGTATAGGAGTGCCGGAAGAGACGCGTTAAAACCGGCGCCAACTCTGGAGCACATGTCTGTAACACAATCGGAGGGATGCCATCAGGCCCACTCGACTTGTGAATGTCCAAGGAAAGAAGTGCTTTGCGAACTGCACTTTGCCGGAATTTTACCTCCGGCATCGTAACGTCGCACTGGGGGATTGATGGTGGTGAGTTTCCTCGGTCATCCAAAGTCGAGTTGGATGCAAAGAGAGAGCCCAGAAGATCGGCTTTCTCCTTCGCGGCATGGGCCAACGAATCATCCTCCGTTGTGCAGGGGTGGAAAAGATGGCTTACAGAAATTCCCTAAGACAGCTTTGGCGAGAGACCAAAACGC